AACTGCTGAAGGACATCGTTTTATCCTGGTAATTGTAGACTATTTCACCAAGTGGTGTGAAGCGATTCTACTAGATAACATAGACGCATGGAGTGTGGCCAAATCGTTCTTCGATGATTGGGCAGCACGTTGGGGATCACCTTATCAGTTGCACTCTGATCGCGGATCAAACTTTGAGAACATACTCATGAGAGAATTGTGCCACAATTTTGGTATCCGCAAGATATGGACCACTGATTACCATCCAGAAGGAAATAGATTAGTCGAGCGCACGAAGCGTTCACTCAAAGCACTGCTACAAGCATTCCCTAAATAATGCCGACACTAAGAAGGTGGGATACTTCGTTGTCGAAGTGTTTGCTGGCCTACCGAGCGTCCGTCCATTCATCGACGGGCCAAACGCCACATCTAATGATGACGGGGCGAGAACTGCGAATACCTTTGGACACGCAGCTGCCGACGTCACACCACGAGCCTCTGGCGGCATCTTACCTCATACTCCGGATGCAGTCAAGCCTGCTGCGTGCGTATCAGTTGGCGCAACCGCATATGCAAAGCTCACAGCGCTACCAGCAAACTTACTACGATCGCAGGGCTTTCGGAAGCCCATAGCAACCCGGTGATGAAGATTGGCTTAAGGCGGTCGTAATACCGACGGGTGTCCCGGCGAAATTCCATCGTAGAAGATGTACTATCAAACTAGACTTATCCTATCATAAAACCTGGAGTACCTGGCTCCTCCACGGTCGTTCATTTCAACCGGCTAAAGCCAACGGGCAGAACTATGTACGCTGAGGATAGCGCCAATTAAAAGCGGGGATATTGTAGCATATTCATATGCGCTTGCATTGCGCGCCAGACATCTATGTAGGATGGTCCTTTGCAGGATGGTCCGCTGTAGTAGAATATATGGAGGAAGTACCCCAAGGAAGTAACGGAAAACTCACCGGACGCCTAACGTTGTTGGTATTATGCTTTCTAACCTCGGTTGAGGTGACCTTGCAACCCACGCCGACTTGCTCCTTGCTTACTTGCGTGTATCTCCTTGTACTCCTTGCGTTGGCTTCGGGTCTTGAAGTACACTTCCGCCTGCCTCCCGTGTCGTACTTACAAGGTGGTTGTGATAACGTTATCCACCATCAACGATGTCTTTCCTTTCTGTTTCCATCTCCGCAGATATATTGCGACCTTTGGGATACCGAAGAGTCCGGACTCTCGCGCCTCGTGCATATTATACTGAGGGACGACGAAACGCAGATAAACATGTTGCTCACTAACCCCCACGATAATTGGGATTAATGTATATAGTTTTGTGTTAACGTGTATAATATGGTGAGTTCACAGATGCGTTCTTCACTCTTGTGTAATATTTGCAATTTGTGTATTTCAGCAAACCATCTTATGCCTTGACATTTTTATCCGCATTATACCATTATCCCATTATCCCACCCCGTGTCACACACATAGGCTGTTTTAAATATTTCCCTGATGGTTAATGGGGAGCCATATTAACGTAAATTGAGTCATGCGATTTGGATGCCATGATGAGCGCGGCCTATTACAGTACCGGGTGAGAAATTGAATACAAACGAACTGCAGTTTTCCAGTGTCATTCTAGTTGCGGAAATAAAAGCAGATGTTACACACTGTAACCCAATCTTTTCGTTAAACATGATTTTGAGCCGCACACCTACTACAAGCTATAACATGGGGTTTCGCCTTCAAATTTGGTCAGTAGTTTAAGCAACCTTTGGGTTCCTACGAAGCACGCTGATACCTTAAACAAAGGAACCGTGAAGAAAAACGAAAGGAATATGTGAAAATAAAACCTAACACGTGGAAACTAAACGTTTAGTGGTTATTTGGCAAATTTACACAAGTGAATGTTTGTGAACAAGAAGTGGCCTAGGATAGGTTTGTTTGACAAATATAGGCTGTGTTAACCATTAGTACTCGGTAACATGCACTTAATGGTCCTGTGTAATTTGGAGCTTAGGAAATGTACATGTGAAATAACAGCTCCAAAATGTCAGTGGCCAAGTAAAACTGACAAAATTGCGGATCCGAACGGTTAAATGGATAAGCAGTATTAATGGCATAAGTTAAAATACATTTATTTATATATTTAGATGACGCTGACCAAATTCAGGTTGTTCTGGAATCAGCGATGAGGTAGTAGTTCTTATACAAGTTTCGGTGATGCTTGATGTACCGACTTCAATGAGTTAGGACGATGTGATCACCTCACGCTTGATTCCCTAATGGAAATCAACCTCATATTTGGTGTACCGTGGACAGAGACCGTTGAGTTAATCTGCTCAAAGGAGCTCATAGAGACTAGATTCACGCCACAGTGCATAGAGATTTTACACCAATTGATTGGTATCAGTGACGAGTTACCAATCGGATGAATTACGCGACACTTGCCGCCCAGGTGGGCAACTGTTAAAATTCGACGAATTGTACCGTGATTTTCAAAGCGCCAACTTCTGGCAAGTTTCGCCTATAGCTGATGGTCTATTCGCAGTCCATAACAAACAAACGAGGCAGGATAACTTACGGTGACTGAGCTGCTACTGTACTAGACGATAGAATTTGACATAAGCAAATGCAAATGCTACAATAATGTATGAAGCATTTTGATGCTGGCTGCTCCTCAAATATCAGTTTTGCCATTTGACTCTGATGGAAAGATGACTGAAGTTTGCTCTTAAGTTATTCATAATCCACAATAAGGCTGTTACCATCTCAGCAACAGAAGCGTGGCAAGAGGGCTGGGGGTCGGCATGTGACAGAGGCGGAAAATTTTAATACCTTTGATCACTCGATACAAATATTAAGGGCAAATTTTCAGATAATCTAAGGATTGAATAATTCATTGTGACTCTGTATGGACCAACCAAATCTTCGCACCATGGTGTCACACCCGTGTAAACGTTATTCCCAATGACCCCCTTACTAGTTCCATCGTGACCAGTTTCACCACATTCACTTCAGAGCCCCAAAAACGACGACCCATTTCATCGAAAACTAATGTGCACTTTGCCCTCAGCCGATTGTGTGGCATTCATGCGCCTATTCTGCCCACAGTCAGGTTGAAATTCTTACCACCACCCAGGGCGGCAAAAGTAGTTTATAGGTCACTGCGCAGCATACATGTGGTCAAAATTTAAAGATCCAGTCTCCTTACGTTTTTCTATTAATATCTCATGTACTCATGATTCAGACTCCCTTGCTAATGTTATCGCTGTTCCATGTAAATGTAAAGCAGTTGAAAGAATACCCGAGGTCACCAAGCTTCAGTCACGAAATAAAAACAGCTTTTTCTACACTTCTGTCTCATTTCTCAACATACCCTATATTCTTCACAGTAAGTTCTCATACGGTTGTGGCGGCTAAAAAAAAATTTAACAATTTCATGCCATCTTTGCGAATTAAGCAAAAACTTATGGCTTTCAATAACCACGAAAATCGGTACTATTTATTCGAAATAACAAAACCACTAAACTGACAGAATTGTTAAAACGACCCCCGTTCTCATAGGCAGAGTATAAATTAGTTACCTATGATGCATTATTAAGGACGAAGTACAAGTGATTCCAAAATACGGTGTTCATAATGCAATAGTACGTTACCTCTGAAAGGCGGAACAATTGTTCATGCATTGTGATAGGAAAGGATGAAGCGAAAAGCCGACGTTGAACAGCTGAAAATGCCTCGCC